ATCCAGATCAATCAATGACTGGGGAAAGCAAGCATGTGAATAAACAAACGAAAATTTTGAACAAACAAAGATCTTCTTTTTTCCAAAAACACCGCAAAAAATAAAATTTCGACATAGAACTGGAGTTAGCAAAATGAAGGCACAGTGCCACATAAAAAGTGAACACCCGAACGGCTCGTAAATTTTGAGAAAATCACAAAAAAATAATGAATTATTTCAAAAATGTCCCAAATTTATACTTTCAAAGAGGCGAAAGCTCACAGGAATTAGTCTGAGGAGTGACGAATTGTAGAGGGACTGGTTGTCCGACCGTCAAAGTCGAACCTCCGAGCTACTGCACGACAACAGTGCTACTTTCCAATACGTCATGCCCGACGGTACTTTAACTGAGTTACTCCACAAGATGGAGCAAAAACGCATAAAACACCCAAAAAAAACGAAACATGGGTACCTGATATCCGAAATCACGTGGTTTCCACGTGATTGAGTGTGTGTTGCATGAAGTTCACGAGCAGTTTCGCCAGCACCAGACGCTTTCATCTACGCGAATCCGATGAGCAAAAGCGATGTCCACAAAACCTCAGCACTGAAAAGTAACCGGTGCCAGCTAGTATGATTGGTAGGTACCAACCAGTTAGAGGTAAGCAGCCTAGGATCGAAAAGCCCGGGCACAGCTGCGCTCGACATGCAACAGCATCCCAGCTACGTCAGTAACACGGGATACCCATGCTGATTGTCCGGTGGTCGTGGTATTCTGACTGGTGGCATCTCTCTTACAGAGGTAAATCACGGGAAATTCAATTACATACCTGCCACTCTTGTGACGAATTCGACAGATTCCAAAAAAGCGATTTTGGATGTTTAAAATGACATATTAAGTCGCTGGACTTCGAATTTTCTCGGAACCAAAACGCATGAATCCAATGCGTAATCGATAGAAGTCACGTGTCAGTGAGCGGTATCCGATAGAAAGTAAATAATGGTCGATGTCGAAAGAAGCGATAAATGAGATAAACAAGACCATGAATTAGTCCATGGTTTATTTTTTACAAGGTTTTTCCAGAAGGACATGAGTACGGAAAGCACAAGATCCTAAACGATGGAAAAGTTGCCGGTTGCGCAGATGGAAATCCAGACTATAAATTAACAGGACCTAATCCAGATATATTTCTCTCATCCACATAATTCCGTATAGCCATTCAAGAAAATCTTTTCACCGCACTGCCGGCATCTCCTGCTTTCCCAAGCATATCATTCAGTAATCCGTTTTGTCCATCTGTTGCCTCACATTCTTGCTACATGATCAGCCCAACTCCTGCTCCTTTCATAAACTGCCTTGATAATGTCGCTCTCGCTGGGATGCAATTTCCCAGTACTTCACTGGAAATGTGCTGCAACTTGCTGTGACACCTGCCACGACTTGTCGGTCACTAATAACTTTATCTTCAGCAAGCGTGGTATTCCATGTTTCACTTCCATCCAACAAAGCTGATAGCAGCGCAGTTGAAAAGTGTCTTTTTCACTTGCTTATTGGAGAGGATGTCTCGTAACTTGGTGAAGGGCTATCTTCTTAGTCCGCATATAAGTCGATGTTCATCTGTACTGCTTGTCTCAAGTAGGAATTGTTATCCATGAGTTCAGCAGCCTCTTTTATAGTCGCCTACAGAACTGGAGACGCTCTGCATTCTTCACCCACTTGATTTTTCATCCACAAATTTGGATCCAAAAATTTCTTTCGCAGTGGTCACAAAGTTTATTAAATAAAAAGTTTCGCAGTATATAAGCAGAGTTTCGTCTGGGAGGACGACAGGTAGTAGTTTTTTTCAAAATTTGAAAGTAGAAGATTCACAACAACGAAGCTTTTCGTCCTCGGTTTATCAAATGAAGAATAACACTGAACCCCGTACCTCCGCGGTAAAAATAATCACCGGAAGAAATTCGTTTGGAAATACTTCCTTGATTATAGTTCCCAACATTTCACGGCTCGTCCATGCCACGGATTTGTACCTCTCTCTATGACCTCATGAAGATTATTTACATCTTCTCTGGTTACTCCTGGTCCATGTAAAGTTAGTGTAGCTCCAGGAAGGTTGAGTTTTCTCGCTATTCAGCATCTAGGCGAAATCGAAGCCGAAATACGTTAAACGGAGTTCTAATTTTGCCTATATAAATTGTGATAATATATCAATCGTATTTTGTTATGCATTGGATTCTTCTAGTCACGCATTTTTGCTGTGCAGTGCTACAGTGCTGCTACAGTGAGCAAAAACACATTGTTGGGAGATCTGCGTGTGTGCATGTTCGGAAGCAAGTGAACTTTGTCACCTACTTTCAACTCAGCAACCAGGAAAACTGGGAGGTTGAAATTTTTGGGAGCATATTTCCACTCCATGTATCATCCACTCTTTTTAAAATCATTCGCTCATGCGCGCCTAGATCTTGCGTACGGACCCACGAAAAGGAACGCAATTTCCTTCGGCGGGAAACGATTTCGTGAACCAGACAAGGCAGGAAGCTTAAACTTATATATAAATCAGGAATACCAGTACTGTTTGAGCTGTCAGTGTGGATATGTTGATGATGCTACTAGTATGCTCTCACACTCCAAAAGCAGCTTGTACTGCATACCTCCAGTTAGTACCCACCATCCGTCTCAGTGTATGTGTGCCATCTCTTAGGAGGCCGTCCGAGGGGTCGTTTACTTTCTCGTTGTATAGTGTATTTGTGCTGGAATCTAAAAGTGAAAATTACAACACGTAGGGATTTAAACGTTGATTTTCAGTCTTGTACACCGCCGATAGTTATCTGTGCTTCCGAGCTACCAGGACTGAATCATCTTCCCATGCAGACACACAGACATGCTTATGCATACGCACAAAAACACAGACAACAAAAATGCACACAGACACATATGCATATGCACATACATAGCTCACAGGTATGTACGCTTAGCGCCTAAACAAGCAAGCATACATGCAGACACACACACACCCACCCAAATGCACACATGCATATACTACACACATACATTTATACGCAATAAGTATATACTTTTGCATATTTTTGCATATATACATACACACACTATAGACAGACACACACACCCATGGACAGACACGTACACTCATATGCTGATAGTCGGGGCGATCGTTTTTACATATTTGATTATTGGTATATGAAAGGGAGTTAGTGTCAGACGTATTCTGTCATTACTTACTGGTCGTTTCGTTCGGGACAGTTGGTTTCGGTTTCTGTGAACAGCGAAAACGGATGAAATTGAAGATTTTCCCAGGTACCTGATGGATGTGGAAAACGCGAGGTGGAGGGGGCACGTAGGTGATTTCCGTGAAGAAAAGACCGTTCAGTGCTCTTTTTGGATACCATCGCCGAGTGGTCGCCTACTTTCTCGTTGATACTACTCGTTAATAAGCAGTGTCCGCTGATATCAGTGGGACGAGCGCCGTGTGCCTTGCTTGCCCAGTTTTGCTTCCTCGCATGGTCGTAATGACATTCTGCACGACGTTCGTCTGATACAGCGTCTCTCAACAACTTAGACTATGACCGTTCCACATTTTTTTTGCATCGGTCTGTTTATTTGTTTTAAAGGCTACGGTTCGGCCTACCAACAGCCGCAAATTATTTTTAACAAACTTATCCCACCCTTCGTTTTAACTTTCCGGATCTGACCACTTCTTTGTGCAGTCCGTTTGTTTTAAGATTGCGATTCGGCTTTCTAATGACCAGAGCTTATTATTTCATCGTTTTAAGCTAAATCAGCTTGTTTTTCATGGGGATGAACTTTGAATTCTCCTTTATCCGAGCAGCGATGGTATCTGGAATACCTGGAACAGCCGATAATTCATAATCTTTTTCTCCATTTATGCAGCTGGCAACTTTTCCACTTGCTTTGACCAGTGCTGGTGGTCACTTGATTGGTCAGCTTGCTAGTGTCCTTGAGAGGTATTTCGTCACTTGAAAAGATTACTGTTTCTATGGTTCTCTGGATAAAAACATTTAGCAAAATTTTAGCCCTTTTGAGGTATCCTTGATGTATGCTGAGCGTCATTACCAGTTCGTTCAGAATGTTGCCACTTCTAGACCACGATGAGGTATTTTACGGTTTTGCGGGCATATCAGCGGTATTTGGCTAAATTTGAAGGAACGAATAGCATCGTTCGCGATTTTTGTTATAATACCATTGTGCTCCTCCAGGTAATACGTTGATTTTAGCGGCATGTCAGTGGTCGATAATGGCACTGTAAGAGCAGGCGATAACTTGGTTGATACTGACCACAAGGTAATGCAATTTTCTTTTTAATTCACAAAAGATTTGTTGAAAAATGACCAAATAGATAGCTGTTGGAAATTTGCATAATGAAATGGTATTTAATGAATGAAACGACTATTTCATCACTGGATCATATTCGTTGTGGCCCATAACTGTGCCATTTTCCCCTTCATCATTTTATGATTATTTTGACCAATATTATATTGCCTGGTGGTCAACTTTTTGACAATAACTATAAAGAAATTAGTGCCCCAATCATAAGTGGACCGAAAGGGGAGTGGGAGGGGGCGATGAGTCTTTCGCTACTTCTCGGAGATGCAGGTACCAGTGCTACAAAAGTCCCAGTTTAAAGCTAAAACTGAAGAAAACTCTCTTTCACCCCCACCTCCCGCTCCCCCGGTCTTCGCAACGTCAGAAGCCCCACTCCCTCTAGGAAGCCGCCCTGGCTCGGCTTATGGCTCCAGTAGCTATTCTGGGCGAAGCGCTTTGACAAGGCTTTAGCCGTGACGCGGCTGAGCTTCATCATCCTTCTCAAAGCATTGCCAGTCCTCGACCATTTTGATTTTCAAAAGAGGGAACCATCGACAGCCTTACCAGCGGATGATTGTTTTTAGCTTGAGTTACTAGTTGGGCTTCTTGCTACATTTGTTGCAAGAGATCTTGGATTTCCCCTGACCGCGTAATAATTTTATGATCCGTTTCCCAACTCGATCTGTGTTTCTGCATAAAAAATTCTTTTTTTTTTTTCCAGGATCAAATATACGAACTGCAAGCGCTTGAAAGTATCTTCTCCGGTACTCCGGAATGTTTTTCATATCATCATCAACAGCAAGCGCCTGATCCAAAGATCACTGGTTCGATTACCATTGTATTGGCCAAATTTGACAAAGAAATAACCATCCATGCAGGTTTTGCTTTTTTTTTGGATTTCTGAACTAAAATTGCATCTGTTACAGTAGGAACCTTTTTATGTGGATTGCAAACATCAGGAATAATTAATGGTACAAGTCCTTCTGGACAGAATAGTAAGGGAACTCATGTTGCTGATTTTTCCACTTCTAGACCCCATCAACCGAGTTAGGTACTTTATCAACCATAAGTGGCGGATCACAGTAGTTTTTGAAACATGGATTGTTCAAATGCTTATTTTGTGAAGATATTGCAGATTCAAAAACTGTTAGGATCTCATATCTTCCGCCGCTATTTTTATATTTTACATTCCCGCAGGATTATCCGTCATGCTCCATGCCGAAATTCTCGCTTCGTGCTGATTGGCTCGATTCGAACATGGTATGTGTCGAAATTTTCTGGAATTTTCCGTTTTTTTCTGTGCTTAGTGAGACTTAGGAGGCTCTGCTGATGATTCCCGCTCCTACCCATATGCACGGCTCGGTCTGTGTTTACAGCTAAGGGTTAAAACATAGACTGCTTCGTGAAATATCCTCCAGCACATGACACTTAAGACCAATCTTTCTACTGTTTTAGACCTTGATGAGGCTTGTGATGTTGCAGTGGATCTTGAATTATCCGAATTTTTTGCTGTTTGTTGCAGAATGAAGGACTTTCGAAGATTCTAACCAACGCATGGACAGACTGTTGTGGGATGCCGGTCTTATTCACCTGGATTGAACTGCTGAAGGAAGAAGCTACTCGCCTTATAATATCGAAATCGGATATCCACCTAAAGGATGTGTTGGCTGGCGGACAAAATGCTGTCCAAGTAAGTTTTGATCATTTATTTGTTCTCCTCCGTCATTTAAATTTTCCTTTTTACTATTCTGAAAATTCATTTAAATGAACATCCAAAAAATGGTGTGTAGAAGGTGGTACTGATGAATTCCCGCTTTTTTGACATACATGTGTAGCTTCGTATTTGTTTACAGCTAAGGGATTAAACACAGGCTGCTCTAAGGCATTTCCGTCATGCGGTATTTAGATGATAGTTTTGGGTATTTGTATCCACTATCTTGATCTTCATATTTCATGTTAAGTAAAGAGGAGCTTATGCTTGACATTGAATTCGTGGATAACTTTTAATGATTTTGGAGGCACACAAAGTGGCTTTTTTCCCGCGTGTTTATTTCCTTTGAGACGGGAAATGTGTTTCTTTTTATATCTGGTCTATTTTTATGCACAAACTGGGATTTTGGGTGTAAGTAGCATATCTGCACTGGAGAGGTACAGCTCATTTTGAACTTGAGAAACTGATTTTTGAACTTCATGTTCATCAACTTGATCCTTTCGCTGTGGATTTGGAACCCGATTTATTCTGGCACTAATTTCGAACTTTTTGAAAATAGTAGTGTGATAAGTAAGGTGTTTGCAGAATTTTTCCGATTTTTCAACAGAATGTTTTGAAAAAAATCATAATTTTTTAGCCCAGTTTGAAGGCGTTTATCGAATATAATGAAAAAGCTGTGCAGAAGGATTTCGAAGATGATTGGTACGATTGCGAGGTATGTTTTTGCTTAATATTGGTAAATGGCGCCAACGTGAGAAAGTAAGCGACCACTCGGAATGCCGTCATGAAAATTACACTTATCGTATAGGCTGGCGGTACCGGAGATGTGTTGCTCAGGGTGTGCGTGTGAAAGCATTCTAACATCATCAGCATGGAATTTCCGCACTGAATATTGATGATAAAATTTTTATCAAAGTAAAAAACCAATTTCCCTCCTCCCTCATCCACATTTCACCTTTTCTAAGAGCTGAGAATATTCGGTAGTTATCCGAGTAGTAGCTGAAAATTTGCAGCTTCCTGCCGGCTTGGCATTTCGATGGCTTCTATTTTTGTAAATTATTTCAAGGCAATTTGGTTGTGCCTTCAAC